TAGTGAATAATGATTGGTTGGATTCATGCGATAACTTCATTAAGCTTATTTAACTTGCTTCTTACCTTTTCTCTATGAAAATATGTGAAGGATGATTCAAGAAGTTAAAAAATTGGTGAAAGTGATTTCTAGAGAAATTAGCCAAGGATTTCTCTTAAATGTTCTTTGGAAATTAATGACATACATTTGGAAGTTATTGCTTGACAAATCATGGAAGCATGAGCATAATCACCTTAGCTAATTTCTAGTATTGACATAGTAAGGGATTCTAATTTCTTGGACCCTCTCACTTAATATTAAAGCAATTCTAATATAATTTTATTTCTTTTCTTGCAATCTTCCGCGTATATGATTGATTCTACCACCTAATGTTCGTTTTATATTTGCTAGTTATGCTATATGGTGGTTGTATCGCATAAACTAACTTCATCCATGGCCGGTTTTACCACCTAACTTTTAACTTTTATGGACAGTTTTACTGCCTACCTAACTTTCTTTGTCTTGAATTTCTTGAACTTTTATTGTCTAGATAATAGAACAACTGATTGCCACATCATAAATTCTTTAGGATTGATACCTATTATTCTTTAATCAATAAATGAACCGTGTCTTGCAAAAATAGGGTAATAAATTTTAAAATTTGTATGAAGTAAGAGGACCCTAACACTTATTGAATTTGAATATTATGAAAATTAGAAATGATAATGGTACCGAATTTAAGTATTGTGATCTTTTCAAATTTTGTGATCAAAATGATATTTCATTGAGTTTTCAACCGCCAAGGTTCCCCAACAAAATGGTATTGTTTAAAGAAAGAATAGAACTTCCAAGAAATTGCTTGATAGCAAGATTGGAGACGTTAGAGATCAAGTTTCGAGTGGTTCGAGCAATGCGAGCAATGATCAAGTTCTTATTCTAGTTGGACCGATTACTAGAGCTCGGCCAAGAAGCTTAAAAGATCAACGCAACACATTTGTTCATGTTGTTCGTAAATCAATTGAAAGTTCTAAAGTGGTTGAAGATCTCAATCAATAAGAGCGTTCGATTGTTACTTTGCTTCAAGTGGTCCAGCAAGCTAGTCCTTAGTTTTGATTTGTTTAGTTGTAGTTGTTGCATTCGGCTAGCTTAGTCTTAGATATGTGCCGAATCATTTAGTTGCTATTTTGAGTCATTTTCGTGACTTTCCTAGTCACTTTTGAAGTCATTAAGGTTGACCAACTTAAGGGGAGTCTAGGGACCGAGTTTGTCAAGTAGTTTCCTAGTTAGAGTCAGTTTCATGTCTTGTAAACTCTATAAATAAGGACAAACGTTTTTCCAGCAATAAGAAGTTGAATTTTCCAGCAAATTGAGAGTTTCTCTCTTGGCTTTTCGTGAGTCCTTTTGAATACTTTAGAGGTCTCTTGAGTGTTCAATTTTGGCTTATCAATCAGAAATACACTTGATTGTGCGCCGTTCTACCAAACCTTGTTTGGTAACTTGTTAGATTGTGAGTTAAGATATTATCAAAAAGTTCGCACATCGGGGTTAGATTTGGTCGTAGGTTTTTTGTGTCTAAACTTGAATATCACCATCAAGATCCGGACTTGTTGATTACGAAGTTTCGTATGCAATGGAGATCGTATTAGTTGGTATCAGAGCCAGGTTGATGGTATTCAGGTTGATGGTATCAGAGCTAGTGATCCATCAACCAGGCTCTGATACCAACTATACGATCTTCATTGCATACGAAACTCATAATCAACAAGTCCGGATCGTGATAGTGATATTCAAGCTTAGCTAGCAAAAAATACAACCCAATCTAACCCCGAGGTGCGAATTCTTGATATTATCAATCCACAACCTAACGAATTAGAGAATCAGGTTTGGTAGAACGATGCCACAATCAAGTGCGTTTCTTGATTGATATGCTAAATTGAACGCTCAAGAGAATCTCTAAAGTATTCAAAAGGAGTTCATGAAAAACTAAGTGAGAAACTCTCAATTTGCTGGAAAATTCGACTTCTTATTGCTGGAAAAACGTTTGTCCTCTATTTATAGAGTTTACAAGACATGAAACCAACTCTACTAGGAAACTATTTGATACTCTTGGCCCCTAGACTCCCTTAAGTTGGCCGACCTTAATGACTTCAAAAGTGACTAGGAAAGCCACGAAAATGACTAAAAAACAGCAACTAAATGATTTGGCACACATCTAAGACTAAGCTAGCCGAATGCAACAACTACAACTAAACAAATGAATCTGAGGACTAGCTTGCTAGACCACTTGAAGCAATGTAAAAATCGAATGCTTTTCTTGATTAAGCCTTCCACCACCTCGTATGCAATGGAGATCGTATCGCTACTAGAATCATAATCATGAATGTGATTGGCTAGAATTTTTTTGAGCTGAAGAGGCAATACGACTTGCTATGTTATGAATAGAGTACTTTCAAGACCTATTTTGAACAAAACTTCTTGTGAACTTTTATTTGATATAAAACTAATTGTTAGTTATTTTAAAGTGTTTTGTTGTAAATGTTTTATCTTGAATATTAAAAAACACCTTAGTAAATTTGATAAGAAAATGGATGAAGGCATTTTCTTAGATTATTCAAATGATAAAAGGGCTTATAGTATTTATAATAGAAGAACTCCTGTTATTGAAGAAGTTATTCATGTCACTTTGATGAAACTAATGATATTAATGTCAAGAATGTTTGTGAAGATGATAATGTAGATTTGCAACAAGGACTTGAAAACTTGAATATTGAAGATGAAAGAAATAATCAAAGGAGGGCACCTCTCAAACTATTGAAGAAGAGAAAGAAAATATGGATAAAGTTATTATGGATGTTGTTTATTTAATGCATAATGTTATTTATATTCTTTTGTGTTGGTGATGACAATGCTGGCTATTCTTGATATGTCTTGGTGATGACAAAATGATGGCCATTCTTGATGTGGTTTGGCTATTCTTGATGTGTTTTGGATATTCTTTTATGTTGATTTTTTTATTGATGACAAAAGGGGGAGAAAAATGAAATGATGATTTACGGTTTGTTCTGAGGGAGAGCATAATGATCCCCATGATGATTTACTACTTCTTTTGAGAGGATTATTAAAAAGGGATTTTTGTGGAAATAGAATCATCATTTGGTTTGTCATTATAAAAAAGGTGGAGAGTTTCTAACGGTATCCTTAACATCCTTGAATTTTGAAAAAATATTATTTCTCTCTCCTAAAATTTTGAAAAGTTATCAAGATTTAGATGCAGTGATAGATGTGTATAAACCATTGATAAAGTTTTAATATGAATTAATTTCTCAGTCAAATCCTACTTTAGTCCTAAATTTAGATATACTCACTCCTGAAAATTGAACAGTCTCGCAATTTCTTTAAATTTCATGTGTTTATATTGTGTTTGTCATTTCGAAAATCACAGTGTCTGTGATGCAACTATTGTCCCTACGTTTTTGTATCATTTGCTAACCAATTTCCAAATATGCGATTAAATACTAATTTTAATGATTTCATTTAAAAACTGCCCTTTTTCTTATGGTTGCTTGACTATCATCGCAAATTAGTTTAGCCCCTTGACTTTTGAAACTTGGCCAGTGTAGTTTAGTAATGAAAAACTAAAAGTCATTCACAGTGTTAAGACTATTTAATAGTTGTTGTGTTATCAATCTAAACTGAAAAACATTAAAAATTCAAAAATTCTATATAACTTTAAAAAACTCATAAAAATCACCTGAAATACTTTACAAGGAAGAAAGTGACTTATTGCACCTTGAAAGCACCTCAAATAAGTTCTAAAAATAATTTTAAATTTTTTCCTTTTTTTTTTCTAGTTTTTGAGCCATTGGTTTGGACAAATGAATTAGAAAATTCAAATATCCTAATGAAGCTACTTAAATTCATCCAAATCCCTTTACGATAAAGAAAATAATCTTTTTAACCTGAAAATATCCCGCATAAACTTTTGAATAAATTCTTTGTATCTTAAAACCACGTGCTACTTGTGGTTACTTGTGGTTGGTGCTATAATATTCTACTCTATCAAATTTACACCTTTATGTTTTGTATCTTTATTTTTAAATTTTATTTATACTCTCAAAATTTTGTAGGGAAGGTAGGACAAGAAAAGGACCATCCAGAATTTTGTTATCTTATACCATCCCAGAATTTTATTATCTTATCTCTCTTAAAATGAAAATTTTTAATCTAATACTTTGAAATAGGTTGACAATGTTAAAAAAAATTTAAACAATATAAGAGGTTGATATTTTTCAAAGTTTAAGCATGCTAAGTAATACTATGATTGTTATATACATATATATATATATATATATATATATATATAAGTAACACTGTGATTAGTTAAGGTTTCTGAAATTATCTCTTGTTTCGATACACATTTTACAGCTAATACTAATCAACATCACAACAATTTGAAAAGAATATATTGTCATCAAGATTTGTAAACCATCTACTCTACCAATTGTTTATATGTTTCATTTCGACGATTAAGATTTAAGCATATAACAAATATTTCATATTAAATTTCCAAACCTTCACACAAAAAGAAAATTCAGATTTACGTTAATATCTTGGAGTACAATGCTGAGTTAAGGCAACATGGGCAATAAAAGACAAAACTAAAGGAAAAAAAAAAAAAAAAGACAAAAAAATCAAGTTCTAATTATGGCAGAGCGCGTCCCTAAGGATTTTAAAATTCCTTTTTTTTTTGCCCTCCCACTTTGGGAATGAAAAATTGAAGATTTATATATATATATATATATATAATATATATATATATATATATATATATATATATATAATTGCTATATAATTGCACGACTTTTGAAAATCACATTTCTTAGCTGCAAAATATGAATTTGCCCGTACTTTTAAAAACTAACTTCATTTTTTTTTTTGATTTTATGTATAAATGGAAGGTTTCGAATTCACGATCTTTTACTTACAATCCCTCCCCTGTACCACCCAACCTATCCCACCCTCAAAATGTGGACCATCTCTCAATTTGTCCATACCATCCTTGCCCAAGGCCATGCTAATCTTCGCTCTGTCGTTCCAATTTGCCCTTGAGGAAGTGAAATTAAGTTATAAAAGTTATATGCCTCTAATCATAGTGCTTCGGTTAGCACCTTGTAAACTAATAAACAATGAATAGAGTAAACCAATAAATTTCTTAACTTATTTACATGTCTTTAGGATCCCATGCAAGGACTTATCCTTTAACATTGTTATTTAGAAATAGATTAATTTCAACATGAGGCCATGTTGCATCACATCTGAAGCTACCTCGATAATTTTTCCCAATTCTTGCAATTCAAAATCTTTATTTTTATTTTTATTTTTTTTTAAGAAGTCAACTTCTTGATACTTTACATTGATATTTTGGCAAAGGTTTCTTTCGTATTCTTCTTATAGGGGAGAACACCTCGAGAGAGTCCACTAAAGAGTTCAATATTAAGTCAGGAACTCAACTCTGACCCAAAAGTTTAAGTTATTAGGTTTGGACCCTTACTTACATATTAACCGCTTTCTCTATCTCTCGGATCAATGTGGGATACAATCCTTTATTCATGAACCTAACAAATCCCCTCCTTCATGAGTAACCCCACATTAAACTCAAATTTACAAGCCCTTTTTTCGAGCCCATTTGAGTACTCAATACAAGCCACCTTTATCACCAAGTCACCTCTTCTTCCAAACATGGACTCACTCTTCTTCAACATCCAAACTGCATTTTGGACCCCTGCCAACCCTTGACTCCTTGGTTTAACATCAACTGGACCCCATCCAAACCCATGGCACACCTGGTCCAACACCAACCAAACTCCTTGGCACTTCGGTCCACCGTCAAGAAGAGAATTTTCATCGGTCCAACTCCGAGAAGAATCCACCTGCCCATGAGTAACCCAATCTCACAACCTGAAACTCTGATACCAATCTAATAGGAAGAACACCTCGAGGAGTCCACCAAAGAGTTCAATATGTAAGTCAGGAACCCAACTCTGACTCAAAAGCTTAAACTATTATCTTGGCCCTTACTTACATATTAACTGCTCTTTCTTTATCTCTCGGATCAATGTGGGACACAACCCTTTACTCATGAATCTAACACTTCTTAAATAAACCATTTGATTCCTGTTTTGCAGGTATTGCAGTTTAAATAAATTCTCTTGCCCAAATCACGAGAACATCATTAATTCCAAATTGCATCAGAAACTTGACAGTGTCAACAGCGAAAACTTGCCTATACCTTCTCTTTGTTGGGCAGCGAAGTAGCACAATGAATCCAGATTTACTTTCTTGTTAGCTGTATGATATCATCCAGAACTACACACAAGAAATCACATTGTTTTGAATAAATATGAGGGCAGAAAGTTAATGTATCTGAGTATAGCTAGAGCCTTGTCATTATTTTTCACAATTGTGTTTGTTATCATAGATTCTATCATCAAACATGCATATGCTTATCATTGCAGTAATTCAATTCATAGCCAAAATCTATATAAAGTGAATTGGGCCACAAGTTGTGGCATTCTATATATTCTGCTAAAACTTTTGTAGGATTATACTTCCATTAACCTTGATTTGTATAGGCTGATCAGATCACTCCTGTTTCATTTATTTTGCCATTGGTCCTTCACTTTAAGCAATCAACTGTCATGATATGTTATGCCTGTACAAAACCCCAATCAGTCTGCTTCATGTTCCTTGCAGAATACTCACCTTTGGTTCCAGTCTCTTCATCTAGCTAGATTGAACTATTCATCGTCTGCTTCAGCGGAAAAATCTGGCTCTTCAGGCTTCTGCAGTTTTGGCAATTCAACATCCTTCAACTTTTGGGCTCCTCTCCTTGTATTTGCTGCAAACCTTGAGGCAAGTATTGTGACTCCTAGATTAATGTGGGAATTTGATGATTTAGCTGCAGTGGCTTCCTCAGTTTTTTCATTACTATCAACAAATTGCTCATCTGAAGCCAAAGAAAATGACTCAGTCATACTTAGACATTTTGCCAACATTCGCTTCTTATGCCTGCGCCAAGCAGCCTGAATGAAACAGGCAGCCCATGTCCTCCAATGGTGAGAGTAATACCGAAATGTATGTTGTAGCTTCTTACTGTGAAGCCGTCTGAACTGATTAGCTACAAACTTGAGATCTTCAGCTCGTAATGCAAAGGCTTCTACTTCACTGAGGGATTTCACTGTTCTTGTTGAAGAAGGCAAATTGAGTGCAGATTTTGGAAGCAAAGCCCAAGCTAGCAGTTCTTCACCACAGAAGTCTCCCGGCCTCAGAGTAATTGAGTTAAAGAAACCTGTACGGCCTCCATTTGTCGTTGAGCTCTCCAATGTGCCTCTGATGATAAAGAGCATCTCTGTAACGGGATCACCCTCACGTACAATGTAGGTACCTTGGGTACTTAGGGACGATACTAGGCGCTCGCAAATGGCATCAAGAAGCAAATCATCCATCTCTGAAAAGAAAGGGACCTGCAACCATGAGAGTTCACCCTTAAACTTGCTCCACTTAACAGGCGTAGTTAAGTAAAATCATAAAGCATACGAAAACAAATTGAATGAGACATGACAATCTCGAACATTTTAATGCACAAAAACACGTTCAAACAAAAGGGATAAATATGATATTAGATGTGTTTGCAAAAGCATTGTATTAAAAGCATTCCCTTAGGTCAAGAATACAGAGAAATAGACAACACAGGGTTCATAGTGAATATGAAGAGAATAAAGTTTCTCTTCTTTCACACTCATGTTGCATAACTGTTAAAACATGGAAAATCCTTTTTTCTTTTCCTTTGCTTTTATTCCCACAAGATTAGTGATACAAGGACAAACTATTCTGAGATGCAGTTTTGATCTGCAATCTTGAGGTTTGAATCTTTTTCCAGAGAACTGCTAAGAATTACCTATTCCTCTGGTCAATCAGCTGCTTTTTTTCCTATGCTTTTAATCTCTTGATGAGCAAATCCATGCTATGTAAGACGCAATAGGTAACATATAGATTGTCCTCCTTAGATTGACTACTATATCAAGCACAAAAAAAGTCACAGAAATTATTAGTACTACAATAAGAGTTTCCCACCATAAAAAATGTTTTAAAAAATGAGAATCTTCCATGATGAGATATGAGGATTACTTGCTTCGTGAAAACTGTTTTCTGATTCACCAGGACAATGGGGAAAACAACGAGCAATAAGAACACAAGAACATTATCATAGGCGGGTGTCCAAGACTTTTATGAGGCATTTGATGAATAAACATGTGACAATGTCTTACTCGTCGAACAAGGTCTAAGCAAAGGTGGCATTGGATGTCTCGACGTAAATCTGTAGGTAAAGCATGCAATATAGATTCTTCATCAACTCCCCTTGTTGTTAGCCACTTGTACTGCACAAATCGCCTAACACGCTCCTGTAGATCTGGAGGGAGCTGGCGATGCCTCATCCACTCCTCGGTATCCCGTCTCTTCAGCCTCCACTCCTCAAGCCTCACAGTGAGAGATTGCAGGTAGGTCTTTATTTTACAAGAACAAGTGGTGAGCTCTTTAACTTCAGTTGGAAAACAAAAACATACAGTAAAAAAGAGTAGAATGAATCACAATTAGAATAGACTACAGTTCTCCCTACCTTGTTATAAGTTAAATTGTTTGTAGCACTTCTCCCTACCTTGTTATAAGTTAAATTGTATAAGTTAAATTGTTTGTAGCACTCTTCCCTACCTTGTATAAGTTAAATTGTTTGTAGCACTTTAATAACTCAGGTGAGAAAACAGACAAGCGCACCGATAAGACCCTGAAATAATTTTAAGAAAATAGTACTCTTTCTGAGCCCCTAGTTAAAATGATAATTATACTTCTAAGAGATTTTCATATGTAAATTAACCGAACCAAGTTTGAAATGATTCCCAAATGCTGCAAGTATGATAACTTTTCTATAGTATAGTGTCTAAGGCATCTATACCTGCATGTTTCCGATCAAGTGTGCAAACAGAACAAGGCCCAATATAGCAATAAGTATGGCAAATGCAGTCTCCCCAATAAATGTGCTTGTGGATAACGTCTGGCCATAAGAACTGCAAACGATGAATAGATATTATTCTCACTTTCAGTAACCAAGTTGTACTAAACCAAAATCTATTGCTAGTCGTCAATATTGGTATGCATTTGTTTTCATGTTTTACAGGGTACTACGGCAAATATTCGGATGTTTCAAAAACAGTTGATGTTTACAGATCCAATGCTAATAGCTACCGTAGAAGCCATGCCACTGCATTCAAACCATCATACTCTTCCTCTAGCCGCTTAGTTCTGAAAGAGTACTTCTTTTAATTTTCAACAAAAACATGGACATCAAATTTCTAAAACAACATTTACAACAATTAGAAACAACATCGACAGGGAGGCATTAACTGATAAAAGTGTGTCATCGCAAACCACACGTGTGAATGGAGTTCCCAGAAGAAATACCTTAGATTTTGTAAACCCCACCAAACAAGTAGAAGTATTTTTCAATGAAGTTTGCAGAGGACATTGTTAGTAACAGCATTTCCAAATATCCCAAAGTTGAAAAATGTGGTATGTCAGGATTGCAGTTACTAAAAACAGCAGTGGAGTTTGCCCATGTCTCCTCTCATCATGATCTAGAGTTCGACAATCCAAAAAACGAAGTGAACAATTAGTGGACTTGAACTCCTGCCTGCAGGCAGATTTCCAACAAGTAGCATCCCGTTCAATAGATAATAAGTACCAGGAAGCCCCCAAGACCTTAATGATAAGAAAATAAGTCATTGTTAAATCAAAAGGAGAACATGACAAACATTTTTTGAAAGATGCTGATGGTGTGCAGTAGCTTACATGGCTTGCTAACATATAGAGAAGCAGATTATATGCAGCCCCAGCCCATGCTGTTTTTGTGACAACTCCAGTTGCTTTAATAATCTGAGAACTCAATGGGAATATCAGATATAATCTGGGAATATACTGGAGAAGAACTATCAGTACAAGAGCATTGTTGGTATGATCAGCATGGGAGCTTCTAATGGCTGGTATGATGAACCATATGACTATCTGCAAA